GCAGAGGTTTCCTATGTCCACTTTCTCACTGCTTAGTGTCGGCCTTTATAATGTAGAAGCCTTAGTATTTAGAATAGCGTCTTGGGGTATATCATAAATCAAAATAATTAAACAAGTATAAATGTGTATATATATATATATGTATATTATATTAATAATAAAAAATAAAGATACAATATTAATAATAAGTAATAATAGCACTAATAACAATAAGAATAAGGAGCCCCCAAAAGAGTCTTGGTAATTATTTCGGCCCCTTTCTTAGGGTTCCGAATTCTTGGGCCTTGCATGAAACCATGAACCCTGAACCCTAAACCCTAAACCCTAAACCCGAAAACCTGAAACCATGAACCCTAAACCCTAAACCCTAAAACCTGAAACCTGAAACCATGAACCCTAAACCCTAAAACCTGAAACCTGAAACCATGAACCCTAAACCCTAAAGTCGAAGGGGTCAGGATGGAGGTTGGGAGCTGGGGCCCGCCCATAAGGGCGTAGGGCTTTCAGGGGTTTAGGTTTTAGGGTTTTAGGGTTTTAGGGCTTTAGGGTTTTAGGGCTTTAGGGCTTTATGGTTTTAGGGTTTTAGGGCTTTAGGGTTTTAGGGCTTTAGGGCTTTAGGGCTTTAGGGCTTTAGGGCTTTAGGGTTTTAGGGTTTAGGGTTTGGGGTCAGGGCTCAGGATTTTGGGGGTTCTGGGCGTTTTGGGGCTGCGGAATTCTAGGTGCTTTTCCCCAATTACTTGCCGGTTTGGGGATTATCGCAAGCTACTCATTGTGGGGTTTGGGGCTACAGACAGGGCTACCTAGGCTTTAGGATGTTGGTGTTTTGAATTTTGGTGCTTTGGGACTTGAAAGTTAAGGTCTGTGTGCTCAGAGATTAGAGCTTCGGTCGAGGGTTGTGGAGTTGAGGTCCATGCCCTGAATTTCGCACTTCAGGATTTGGGATTCTGAGCCTGATGCTTTACTCTTAAACCCTAGACCCTAAAGCCTAAACCTGGGATTCTGGGCCTAAGGCTGTAGGGCTGCAAAGGCGTGGGGGTTGGTGTTAAGAGGTTCCGGGGCGCCGATTTCGGCTCGGTTTTCGAGATGCAGGCGCAGAGTGATCTGGAAATCGCACTTAACCCTATTAGGGTTTAGGGTTTAGGGTTTAGGGTTTAGGGTGCACCAAAAACACTAAACCCCTACACCCTGAACCCTAAACTCGGCACCCGAAGCTGTTCCTCGATCGGAATTTGAATCTGCATGCCCAGTTCGAGTTTTCGGGCGGGTGGGGGTTGGAGGGAGGACCACGGCAAGTATGTGGGTAGTTTTCTAAAACAGGCTCCCTTTTAGGGTCCTGTTTGCTATGGGTGCCGTACCATACTGGGGACTCAAAAAGGGACCCTAATTTAGAGAACTACCCGTGTGGCTTAAGACTGTAACCATGATACATACTGAACGGCAAAATGGCAAAATATACTAAAAAGGTTTCCAGTTTAAGATCATCAACAAGAGCTTCGGATGAAGTCCGGCTGGTCATCCTGGACTGCAGTCGGACCGCGTCTCAGTTTATACTTTCGGACCTTTTCGAGGTTCTCACAGTTCCATGCTATACGGGCTTTTTTGGGATTTTCACGGGGTCAAGGGTGGCAGAGGACACCGCATCTACCCCGCAGACAAACAGACAGGTACGCCGTGGATCACGAAGGACCCTGTAGTATTTTTCGTACCGGTAGTAGGTATTATCTTTTTGTTTTGATTGCTAGTATTATTCTTATTGTTCGTAATGACTTTTTGTTGTTTTGTTTGAAAATGTTGATACTTTCACCACGATTTTATTATTGAGTATTATTGAAACTTGTTCTTGCTACTACTGCTACGACGACGACAACTACTAATAGTTACTACTGCTGCTGCTAATATCACTGGATTAACCATTATTCAGATTATTCATATGATTCAATTTGTAATGCAAAACCCTGTTTATGCCTACTATAGGGGCCTAAATAATTACCAATACTATTTTGGGGGCTCCTTATTACAATTATAGTATGATATACCCCAAAACCCTATTCTCATTGTTAAGGCCGCTATATTACGCATTAAAGCCCTAAAACCCTTAACCATAAACCCTAAACCCTAAACCCTAAAACGCTAAACCATAAACCCTAAACCCTAAACCCTACACCCTAAAACCCTAAAACCCTAAACCCTAAACCCTAAACCCTAAACCCTAAAACCCTAAACCGGAACCCCGTAGCTCCGGGTGCCCAGCACTTCGTTGAACCAGTACTGCGCTCGGTGGCCTGCTCGTTAAGGGTTTAAAGCTTAAGATTTCGGGCTTAGGGTGTAGAGTTTAGGGTTAAGGGTTTAGAGCTTAAGATTTAGGGCTTAGGGTGTAGAGTTTAGGGTTTAGAGTTTAGAGTTTCGGGTTTTCGGTGTTTGGAGTCTAGGGTTTACGTTTTATGGTTTAGACGATTTACCTATAGTCTCCATTGTAGTTCCTTTTTTGGGTTTAACCAAATATATTAAGGATTTTATAAGGTATCCCCAAAAAGGAACTACAATGAAGACTATAGGTAGGGTTTGGAGTTCAGGGTTGGGAGCTCGCATGACCTGGCCCTTAAGGCGAATCCGCAGCTCCAGCTACAGAGATTGTTGAGGGCCATGCATATGGTTTAGGGTTTTTTGTGTAAGTGGGTTTAGGGCTTAGGATCAGAAGCCCAATTACAATCCATACCCCAAGGGTCCAAAGCCTTGTCCTTACTCCTCAGAACCCTAAACCCCCCAAACCCCTAAACCCTGCACTTGAACCCTAAACCAACCCTGAATCCCTAAACCCGAAACCCTAAACCCTGAACCCTGAACCCCGGGCCCTTGAACGCACGGCCTGGGAAGAGCTACGCTGGGACCTTTCGGCAGGTATAGGGTCTTGCTTTCGGGGTTTCGGGTTCGTGCACTTATTTCAATTTCAGGGTGATGAGTTTGGCGTGCAGGCATTCGGGCTTATTTTGGGGGCTGTCACTTTCAATTTAGTAATCTCTCGTTCGACCATGGGGCGTTCTTGCGCCGAGATGGTCCCCGGAAGTGTGCTGTGCAGCTTCGGGCGTGTGTTTCTTGCATAACCTTTACAGACCGGAAAGAAAAGGACTTTGCACAACATCTCAAGCATTGCGAAGGGTTCCACAAACTCCTCGATGCGAGCACGGCTGAAGGGAGTTCCTCTATCGCTTTACATCAGTCTGCCACTCTGGTTTAGAAACCTCCTGCTGTTGCTTCTTCTCCTCCTCATCATCGCCACAGCCACATCCACACCTAAATCCACATCATTATCGGCATCATCAGCACCACCGCCACCACCACCACCACCACCACCACCACAACCACCGCCAACATCATCGCCATGGGCATCACCCTCATCATCATCCTCCTTATCACCATGACCACCATGACCATCGGCATCATCATGTACATCATAAGCGCCATCATCCGTGACCACTACATAGGTGCACAACTGTTCTTCTTCATAGTGAAAATCACGTCTTCGTCATATCAACTACCATGTTCATCTCGATAGCCATCGTCGTCATCATCACCACCATGATCCTGATCATCATCAGCATGACATTCTCCATTACCGCCGTCATCACAGACAATATTCAAACTGTCAGTGTCAACATCACCACAGTGAACGCCGCCACCACAGCAAGCATCGCCACCATAACCATTGCCATCAACACCACAATGCTTGTTTTCATGACGATCATGAGCAAAAGGCGTTGATCTTTTTCATGATCGTCCCCACTTTGACTGCGACAGCCCGGTTGTATAATGTGCCTAAGCTAAACCCAACTGAGGATGACACTTGGATTCGTACCCGCCACCGCCGCCATGATGCGAAGAGCAGGTTTTTTAGAGGTTTGTGATTTGGGGACCTGCGCAACTACACCAGGGTAACAAGGGATTTGGAATGGCAAAGAGGAATAAAGAAGACATCGCATGAGTTCGCTGGGTCTGTTTGACCGGTTGGGGGTGGGATGAAGGGCTGTTGGGGCGAGCGTTATCCTTCAGAAAATACTACCTAATGCCACAGTAACAGCCTGGAGTGGGGTCTGCTTGTCTGGGAGGGTCATGTGACCTGGAATGGCACCTGGTGCCCGAAGCAAGCGACAGACAGAAATCCTGTTTGCCTCCTCTCCATCAAAGCTGGGGTGCCGCGGGCTGCCTCTAGAGGGTGGCATACACGTAGTGGTGTACATTTTGGCCTGATCCGGGCCTTGGGCTTAGTTTTGCGAGGTTTAGGGCATGATGCAGCAAGTGCAAAGACAACAGGAGATATCGCGGCTTGTGAAATCTCAGTGCCCTGGTTCCTTCCTGCCGCCGTCTTTGTGGCCCCAACCCCTGAACCCTAAACCCTAACTTAACCCGACACCCTAAACTTTCTCAAACCATAAATCGAACTCCTCGAAGTGAAGTAAAGACACCCGAAATCCTAAATCGAATTTAAACTCCTAAACTCTCTCGCGCATTCTCTACTTGTCTCTCTCTCTCTCTCATCTATCTATCTATCTATCTATCTATCTATCTATCTATCTATCTGAAAGTAACAAAAGCCAGTACTATACTTCTTGCATATTGTTAATTTTATTTGTGCTCCGCTGTCTCTTCGAACACCTCATCCCAGTTTTCGGTCGCTTGAAACTCTGCATCGCGGCAAGCGGGAGCTCCATCAAAGAGTTGCGGAGCAGGAGCCGTTCAGGCGAGGATTTTTTTAGGCTTGAGGGTTTAGGGTTTAGGGTTTATAAACATGTTGGGGTCTAAGTTGGCCATTTAGGCTTGCTTTCGTGCAGCACTAGGCTTTGGCTTCTTCAAACAACACAACCAACATCCGGCCGTGCTCGCAGTCCCGAAACCACACTATCATACATTGATTCAAACGCATAGAGTTGAAGTTGTCAAAATCCTTCGACAGGCGGCTAGCGGTCCCAAGGCATTGCAGGGGCCGCAGCTCAGCCCAGTTCACTTCATGCCTTGGGGTACACCGTGCGAGTCATGATCTCGTAGCCATTCCTCAGGCATGGTTCCGATTAGATGCAGGGCTTCAACACTGCTTCACATGCTCAGCGTGACGAAGCCCAGTCGCCAGTTGATTGAGGTGATGAGAATGGAGGTCTTGGAGATCAAGAGATCGTAGAAGCCGTACTGGGCCTCACCGTACCAGTCCTTGGATGCTTGCTCGCCATGCATGGCCCAAGCAGTGTGGCTCTCTGCATCTATCTCACCCCTTGCTGGCCGAGCCACCCTCTTGTTGTGGATGTTCGGGGTGGCTTCAGAAGAGATTCCTCCACCGCCGCCGGTCACGAAGCAGGTGAGTCCCCCCAGCCTACAAAGCATGCAGAGTGGCTTTAGATCTTTTAGTCAGCTGGCTCCGGCCTATTTGGACTCCAAAGTTCCTGGTCGTGTCGGTGTCCGGTCACGAGCAAGTCCAGTCCGTGCCTGCAGATAGAGCTTTGATGATTGCTCAAACCACGATGCCGCAGCCGCTTTTAGCCAAGCCACTGCTGGTGCAGTCCCGCCTGCAGGAGCAGCAAGGAAAAAAGGCACGAGCCTTCGCGTGAATGTTGCAACCGACTGCGACCGAGATACCCAATAGTTCTTCTCGAAGCCGCACGGGAAATGTGTGACGGCTAGCTGCCAGTCCGCCGTGGACTTGCTCAGCTGCTCTGTCAGCCACTCCTGACAGCGCTTTCGAGAAGCCGTGGATTCTGAGCACGGTGACCCCTGTGCAGCCAGCGGGCCTGGTTCTTGCGCCACAAGGCCCAAAACCATGCCTTGCATGTCGCGACAGAAGTCGGTCCACCTGCAGAGGGAGGCAAAAGGTGTGAACATGTACGTGAATGAAAAAGAGAACGGCAAACGTGGCGAAGCACAAGCACATGCTATCCGACGGCGCGCCTTGCGATGCGCAGTTTGCTCCAGGCGGGTTGTGCGCGGATCCGCAGATGTTGTGCTCGGGGTCCAGAGGTGGATCCTCGGCGTCCTGGGAATTCGAGTCAACCATGTAGATGTCCATAGTGAACCCGGCATCCACGAAGTTCACGCGCTGGCTCCAGTATGCCGCCGGCAGTCTCCAGCGGTCGCTGTGCCAGGTGTAAGCAATCTGCTGATCCCAGCCATTGTTGAAGACGCGGCCTCCCCAGTCGTGGTTCCCCAAGACACTCAGCCACGGCTTGCCATCCAAGCCAGGCCCGTTGTAGACGTTCTCGAAGACTTGGTCGAACTGGTGGTGGGTCACGTAAGACAGCTCGTCCATTGGCGTGCCACAGGTCTTTTCGATACCGCCCCAGTAGAAGTTGTCACCTACGTTGAGGATGAAGACGGGATCCACTTTAGCCGCGCGACTCTTGAAGGAGCTGGCCACCAGGAGCTGTGGCTGATCATCGATGCCCTTCACGAAACCACATCCGGGATCGCACACTCGCCCCATCGTCTTGTAGCACTCGACAAACTGCTTGTGGTTGCAGAGCAGCTGTGTGTGATACTTGTTGAAGCGCGTCCTTGGGAAAACGCTTGGTCCTGA